GCAGCTGTCTGGGGACTGGGCTGCCTCTCCCCACGGCACGAAGGACACAATGTGACAGGCAGTGCTGAAGGAGTCCGTGGGGATTTATGGCTTCCTCAGCGTCCCCGATACCTCAGTGCAATTGCTGAGGTTGCCTCTGTGAGATTTATCAGAATGTGCTACTATGAGGTCATTTCAGAACAATTTATTTTCCTTAGAAATAGACCAGATTTCCTGTTTAGTGTTTTAACATAATAATGTGTTGCTGGAACACCTGGCTGGGGTCTTATCAAGTAAAGCATTAGTTTTTTGGTTTGTGTTTATCGAGGGCAAAGCTGTTTGTGATGCAGTCATTCTGTCTTTTTTCCAGAGCATCACACTGCTTTTTGCCCCCTTTTAACACTGCAGGGGAATTTGTCTTGGACCTTATTGTGGACTTACAGCTTTATGGATGCAACTCATGTGAATTACCGTTGTGCTGACAGGAGCTGTTGTTGGTTGGAAAACTTTGTGGTCAGAACTCCATGTTCACAACCACCATTGTTCCATCAGAGTCCTAATTCTGAGCTTTGTAAAGCTGCCTCTTGGATTAAAGGTGAGGAATTGGGAGAGAAGAGAGTGAAGCATAAGGAAGTGATACAAACTCACAAATTTTGCTCATCACTTGTGCTTCTGCACTATGGTGCTTGTTCAGAAGCATCTTGGTCCTGTCCAGATCTGTCCAGATCTTGGTCATACTTTAAAAAGCTGCTGATAAAGAAACTAAGGATGACCACCACTTCCCCCAGCAGCTTTGAGGCTGGATTATATTCTCGTGATGACTTTTTTGGCTGACTGTGCTTATTTCTTTATTTTAAAAAGTTACATCTTAACAACTAAGAAATTAATATTTCACTATCCTTGTAAAAAATAGTAGCAAATTAAGTGTTTTGGGATAAATGGGGGATGGTGGTAGTTAGCTGGTTTGCTTTTGTGTGATGAGTTGATGCTACTGGGGCTTCTTTTATTTTCCCATCTTGTGGTACTGCTATGAGTTAGCATCTGGGAGGGAAAATGAGAAGTGGTCTGGGTGTTCAGGTGGCTCACTGTGAACTATATTGGGATGAGTATGTTATCATAAAAGAATATATATTTAGATAACATGATGTCGTTACTAAAATCTCTGTGTTTTTACACCACCTTTGGTTTAGCAGCTGGTTAAGCTTTTTGCCAGAAGGATGTGTGTGTTGGGGATGATAAAAGCTGGTGCTGAGGCTGCTGGTGGCCACACTTCCCTCGTGCCACGTTTGGAGATAACGGTGCCGTCCCAGAGCCATCCCTTGGTTTCTGCACTGCTGCTGAAACACAGGCTGGCTTATACAGTGTGTTCTGTCACAGGAGGAGTTTGAAGACTCAGATGTCCTCTGCTTTTTAAATGTGTCTGCTCATGAACTCTGTGCTGTGAGAACTGGAGGCAAAGGCAATCAGCCGTCCCGGGCAGCTCGGTGCAGAATCACTGTGGTCACAGTGTTCTTGTTTCCTCTCTGTAGTTAGAAAATCTCCCTTCGAGCAAGATTAACAACTGCCCCGTCCCCTCTACTCTTTGCACAGTTCCCTACTTTCCCTTGAGTCTCTGTAGCTGCAGTTTTAGCTATTTGGATAGAAAATGCGAATTTCTCCGTAAATAACCGAGTCAAGGTAGTTTTCTGTCAAAGATTGAAGAATCAGTGTGGGCACAGCATTTGCAGGTAGATCTTGTGCTTTACTTTCAGGTATTGTTTCAGGTGATGAAAAGCTCTGAAAAGAAAGATTACAAAATAAAATCATACTGACCTTGGTCCTTAGTTTAGAGCATGTGGAGAAATTGCTTTTCATCAATAAGCATGTTTCAGTTGGGTTTTGATGGAAGTAAAGAGATTATAAGGAAGGATATGGAAAGGGGCTATAAAATTCCAGCAAGTGCTTTGTGTTCTGCTGTTGTGACGCTGATTGTTGCCCTTTGGCATCGTCCTTTAATAGCATTTTTCATAGTGGGTATCCAAACGTATCTGTGAAACTGATCTCTGCCCTTTGCACTGTGGTTATGTGCTTGTCTGCTGTTTATAACTGCGGCGGGGACAGAAATCCCTTTTTAAAACTGAGACCGAAAATAGGATTAGGAGCTGTTACAAACCTCGAGTTAGAGAAATGAATGCTTGCAGCTCTGGTGGAGGAGGGTTTCTGGGAGCGTGGTGCAGCCTCTGTCCACGAGGTGGCCACAGCCCCTGCCCATCGCCAGCCACCCTCCTATTAATTGATGTTCCTCGCTGGCAAAAATGCAGAATGAGACTCTAAATGTAGCATGTCAAACATAATTTCAGTGCTACTATAAGCACTTGTTCTGAGGGAGTAATGGAGAAAACTTCACAAAGTATAACTGATAGGAAATTTTCATTTTATTGGGAAAAACTGGGATATATATACACCATATGTACTGTACCCTCCCTTGTCGGACTTTGAAGTGGCTTGTGAGGGAGAGAAGGAATTCTACCTGGCTGTATCTATTTAAACAAGCAAATTACTTCACTGAGACATGTAAAATATTTTGGATGGGTATGTTTGATGCTCTGGTGTAAAGAGGCATTTTGCAGCCCTTCCCAGGGGATTACTGACTTAGCTCTTGTGCTCAGGGGCACCCAAAATCACCTGCTCTGCACAACTAGGAGAGGGGCTCGCTTGAAGAGTCAGTTATTTTTAGGGAAAGTTTTACAGATCCTGGTTTAAAAACACTTACAGAAACTGCTGCATGAGTAGCCAGTGTGCTTGGCTTGTTGACGTGTCCCCTGGCTGGGCAGTGACCAGGATGGGGTTTATTACATTTGTCAAGGTTAGAGCAGTAACAGCCGATAGTGTGAGTTAAATGCCTTCTGCTGGCTGAGGGAATAGGAACCTTTGCCTCTCCTTTGCTGTGCTCTGGCTCAGCTGCTCTCTCTGCTGCTGCTCGTCTCGACAGCCAAAGTCAGAGCCGTGGGATGCTTTCCAGACATGAATCCCTTTAAGCAAATGTTTATCTCTTTCATTTACCAACTGTTTATTCATCAAGCTCCTCAGTGGGTCAGTACAGCCCTCCTGTGTCTGCAGGTGGAGTGCCCATGCCCAGTGCTGGCACTGTGTTTTAGGGAGTTCCAGAGAATAATTCTAAAGTCAGGATGTGGTCATTTTTCATATGTACAATTTAAAAACTTTGTGATTAGACATGAACATAAGCTTTTGTTCTGCTTACAGTTTTCTGTGACTCATGACTACAGAACTGCTTATCTAAAATATATTTTAAAGACCTTCTGTTATATCCTAATCTCTGTTATGTAAAAAAAAATACTGGAAAACTTATATAGGCATAATGAGTTATGAGGACTGAAAAATTCAGCTTTAATTTTAATACCAAATACTGATTCCTTCCTGACTGCCCAACTTCAACAGGACTTGTGAGTATCCTTCTTTTGGCCTGGGAGAGGGGGACCTCCAGGTGGAGGAGGAAGAATGTGGGACACAGGGGTTTTATTTCAGTTCTTCCACAGAGTCTATAACTCCTAAGTTTTATTAACTACTAGTGTATGGTCTGATGCTTTCAGGTGGGGAAGGTGAGGCAGTTCCCTGCTTGGAAACAGGGAAAGCTCAGTAATGGAGCTGGTGGGACACCTGAAATGACCCTTTGGCTGCCAAGTGCCCACCTCTGACAAGCTGTGGTGTGTTTGGAGTCTGATTCATAGCTGGTGTTCCCAGATTTCACTAATAAAATCAAGTTTGTGGCAACTCAGAGTCGGAGGATTAGAATGAGATTGGACTGTGTGAGAAATGAGTGCTTTATAAATGTGTTACACATTCAGGCCTTCTGTTTAATTTTCATGGGGTTTGGTAATGACATTTAAAAAAATAAATCAGAGTTTTATTGGTTTTACAGGGCCTGCAATTACGTCTGACCTTTCGTTTGGTATAACAGTCCATATCCGTTATATTGCTAAACAAGGACTATTAAGCCAAAGAACTTTTCTGAAGTAAATCCATTGTAAATTCTGAGGCCAGCGTTCATATTGATTTATCTTTTGTAAACACTGGATAAATGCAGCACTTGAAAATTCAGAACATACTTTCCAAGGCCAGGCTGGAGAGGCTGCTCTGTGGTGCATAATGATTGTGTTGTGCGTGTGTTGGACGCTCCCAGCCCACCTGTTCAGGACAGTAAATTGGGTGATGAATGGCCCCAGTGAGCTGTTCCCCAGCATGTGGTCTGCACCATCAGCACAGATATTTCTGTGACTGAGGACGATTCTGTCTAGTGAGAAGTTTAAACAGCTGTATCTCCTAATTGCAGCTTCTATGTAAAGCCCTGTTTTTAAAGTGAAATAATCTTCGTGGTTTAATATTTTTGTTTCTGTGGTTGGTGCTGGATGGCACTGATGTGATGCTCAGTCATGGTGGCAGGAGGTGGGAGACCTCTAAAACTTCATTGTCTTCTTGTTTGCTAAACAGTATTTTGGAGTAATTTACGATGCTGCCCTTTGGACAGGGATTGGGCTGAGTAAGAGGCAGTAGGATGAAAAGGTACCGTGGTTCTCTGCATTGTACATGGTGGCTACACTGCATGGTATAGGTTTTTGCTGGGGTTCTTTGCCACTAGGAAATTAATTTTGCAAAATTCCCTCTTTGAAGAGGTGTTAAAAGGTTTCAACAGTTTTTGTCCTTGGATGAACAGGACTGCCCCTTTTGGCTTATTCCACGTGTTGTTTGCTGCTGTTTCCAGTCATGTAAATATTTTCAGAGATATTTTTAATAAATCTTTTTTTTTTCAGGTGAGTGTTTATGCATCAGTTGGATTTCACTCTTTTCACTTTCACAGCTTGAGTGTGGACAGGGTTCTTCAAGTCTGTGTGTTCCCTCACCTGTCTCTAGAATTATGTCTCATAGGTCTGTGTAACTTACTGCAGAACCTGAAAAGTAATGCTGAGTGATTAGATGCTGTGAATGAAGTTGGTCATGTTTGTTCTTTTTTTCTCTCTCTTTAGGACTTAAACACTATCTATTCTTTCCTTCATGGACTGGACATACTCTCGCATTTCAGGGAGCATCAGCTGAGGTGAGTACTCCACAGCTAGAGTTGTTTAGCACTGTGTATCTCTGACTTTATTTTTGTGGAGATGAGCAGAGCTTTTGTCTGCCTGCACTGGGAGGTGGCAGAGCATTGGCCAAGCCCATTGCTGAGTGCAGTCACTGCAGTAACATGGCATGGAATCCAAACTAATTAGCCTTTCTAAGAAGGAAGGCAGAGCTTACTGCCATTTGCCTACAAAGGACTGTGCAGACAGTGCCCTCTCTTAACTCCTGATTACAAAAGCTTTTTAATGCTTCAGACATTCGGATGATCTCAGAATCCATAAAATGGAAGGCCAACAAAGCATAAAAAGTGCGTTGGAAGTATTTTAGTTCCTTCAGCTCTGTTGCTATGGGTAATTCCAGTGTGTGGGAGTGATTTAAACACTTAGAGAACATGCTGTATATTATCTGTTTGGATAATGAAGAACACCGTAATAATTTGAATTTTCTGGTTAAGCACATCTTTTCTTTAGGACAAAAAAAATTGTTGAATTCGAGGTCTTAGAGCTTTAAAGTGGTTCTACTGAAATATGGTGATTAATGGCTCATGATCTTTGGGGAGTAAAATTGAAATTAAACTTCTCTTCCTCCTCCCTCAGAATAATGTCATCGAGTGCCCGCTATGAGAGGTACAAGGGCAACCAAGTCCTCTTTTGGTGAGTACACAGCACTTGTTGGAGTTCTTCAGCAGAAGTGTGAGCAGAAGCCCTGTTTTGCATGTTTTAATACATGATTTGCTTTTTCAGCCATTGCTAATAAAAGCCTTTACAGCATTTCAGCTTGGATAAAAGCTTTGGCAGGAGGTGTTTGTAGGAGCAGTGTTGGCATCTGAGGGGTGCCCATGAGGTGTCTGTGTGTGACTGTGGCACCAGGAAGGCACAGGCAGGGTCCCCCCCAAGCTGGTGGGAGCCGTGGTGACACTCAGTAGGTGGCACTGTGTCCCTGGAGCTGGCACTGCCTGCATCCTGCACGGGAGAGGGATGGAGCTCCAGCACCACCTCTAAGTTGCAAGAATTAGGATTTGAGCTCAGAGTTCTCTTTGGGTTCCTACTGGGAGGCAAATATATTTTTGTTTTCCTTGTATTTTAGCATTGCTTGTGGTATATTTACCCTCTCACAGCTAATCCTAGCTTTCTGTATAAGGCACAGCTTCCAGCACACCTGAGTCTAAATGAGACACCACCTGCTATTTGGGGTGGTGGGTCTGTGTGACACACACCTGCTCCAGTGCCAAGTCTGTATGTGTGTTTAGGAATTGTGGGCTGTCCTGTATTTCTAGCTTTATGTATACTTTCACTGGAATAAAATGTTTTCATTGAAAATTAATAACTCCATTTTAATAAAATAAAATTTTAAACTGACTTAAATGTCAAATTGTAAAGTACAAGAAACATTCTGGATGTAGATGTTTTAAAAAAACATCTTGGTAGCATCCAGTTCAAGTGCTCAGGTTCTTACCTATCAAACTGCTACGGGGTAAATCAGTATTTTACTACAGTGATATTTTGGATAATATATTTCTGAGGTGTTGTGAGAAGAAAGTAGATATCAATGATTTCTTTTCTTACAGCTCAGAAACTATTGCAAGATGCTGGTATATCCTACTTTCTGGATCTGTGCTCATGAAGGATTCCATGTTTTTACCACCTTGCAGGTATGTGAAGTTCTTATTATTTAAGATAAGGCAAGGTGTGTGTGTGTGCATTCTATATGTTGGTGTTACTGTAAATTTTTAACAATATTTTTTTCATTATTTTGTTTTTCTAAAGTTCAGTAGTGGCTCTTAGAATAATTGCTGCTGTGTGACTGTTTTTAGAGTTTCCTGTGTCAGAAATGACTGCAGATCACATGGCTTCTGCCCTTTGACTGGAGGCTGTGTTTAATGGCATGTATGATTTTTCTGTGAAGCAAGAAGAGCCCAGCAGCACTGGTTAGGGAGAGCATATGCCAGGAGTCTGAGTGCACCTCGGGGCTGAGGCACAGGGAACGTTGGGAAATGCTTTCACTGGAGCACATTATTTGACTTGAGCTGGACTTGCTCAAGTAATACCCTGAGTACCCAGAGTAATACTCTGCTTGACCTTGTGCATCACTCAGAAATTTTATTTCTCTGTCTTTCACTTGACTCAGCATGAGCTGCCCGTGTTAACAGCCTTAATGCCAACTCCAGCTCCAGTACATTTCCATAGGCTTGAATTCCATGGTGAGCACTGATAAGAACGTTCAGGACTTCATTTTTCAGCTGAGTTCTCTGTTAGCTATAGGCTGGATGTTAAACTCTTAATGCTCCTTGAGTGACTGAAGTTCCTGGAGTGAAGTTGTCCAGAAGAATCTGTGGCTGCCCCATCCCTGGAAGTGTTTAAGGCCAGGTTGGACAGGGCTTGGAGCAACCTGGGATAGTGGGAGGTGTCCCTGCCCATGGCTGGTGATTGGAACTAGAGGAGCTTTAAGGTTTCTTCCAACCCAAACCATACTATGATGAGTCTGTGATAAGTTCAGGAGTACCAGAAGGGAGGACATTGCAAGCTGATATTTGCATAAAACCTCTCTAAAATCATTGCTTTGCCGAACTTAGAATTTATAACCACCATTAAGATTTCTTGTGCCTTAAAAAAAAGACAAAATAGATCTGTTATAGCTAATTCACAAGATTACAACTAGTTTTATTATGGATAATGAGGAAAAATAGCTGCTAGATGGTGAAAGGGTCACAGAGTTCTGTTAGATGGAGCTGCTGGCAGGTTGCAGCTTACGTGGTTCCTGGGGTGTACTGTCCCTGTAGGTGGTGAGATCACGTGGAAAGGAAGGGAATGCACTCCTGCTGGATATCCAGGGTATTCAGATCACTTCCATTTCATTTGAATGATGTTTTTTTTTTCTTCAGTACAGTGGAATAAACTTCAGCTGCTTTCCCTGGTCTGAATATCTCATCTATCACATCTGTAGTTGAGGGAGTCACCAGTCACTTACAGGCTAACTTCCTATGAAACAGTGGCTTAGATAAGTTAGTAATATTCTTTCATAATTGTGATTAGCAGCATTTTCATTACATTTAAACTAATGCTTAATGTCATGCTTTTTGCCCCCAACCAAGTTCCTGAGCATGTGAGTCATTCTGAAAGGAGGTTTGCATACATATCTATAAGAAAACACAGTATTGCCTTAATTCTCATTGCCTCAGGTATTCCAGAGCTATTCCTTGTCACAGGAAACAAAGATAACTTGCTGCCATGCTCTCTCTGCCTAATGAGCACATAATCTTGTAAGATACTAGTGAAATAAACTTTAGGGAAGAGTATTTTGGGGGGGATTTATCTGCTTTATCTGTGCTTTTTAATTTTCACAGTAGGAAAGTGGCAGACAAGCATAGGGAATGAAAAGAAAACCACACTTGAAGTGTTCTGAGACTGCTGAAGGGAATGGAGACATCCCTCCAGCCTCTTGGGTTTCTGGTAGGATTGGTGCTGCCCAGACACTGGCATCAGATAAAGCTCATCCGTTTGACTTGTTAAATATGGTATAAATGTGTCTGCTTGTGAGCAGAGGTTGGAGATGGGTGTGTTCTGCACAGGAGTGATGCAGGAGACTGTGATGGCTTTGAGATGGCCAGGGGGTAAATGAATGAGGACCAAAATAGAATCCTTAATGGGAGGAAGGTGATAACTACTGATGGTGAGAATTTAGGCTTTAATCTGGAGACCTCCTAGAGCTCTGAAAAGGTTAAGAGCCAGGTTTGAATAATTGCCATTCTGGAAGAACTGGATGGATGGAGGCAGATCCTAGGCAGCAAATGGATTCTGGTTTGAAACTCAGTTTGTGTACTTCATAACACCCCCACTCCCCAGTTTCCTCTTTGTCCTGTTGCTGATTTCAACTTCATATTTGTCCTCTGGAACATTTGACAAACACTTTGTGTTTGAAGAACTCTGGGCTCTCTGTGCTTGAGAAGGGCTTTTTCATTGCCTTGGATGAATTTGTATTCAAGTTGTAGTTCAGAAGTTGGTTTAAAAAGTGGAGGAGTAAATCTTGCACCCAGGTACAGTAAATCTATTCAACATGCTGACACTGATGCTCATGATGAGAAAAGCCCTGTAAGGTTTTTAAGGTAAGAAGCAGATCAGTCAGTAATACCAGGTACAAAGATGGCATAACCTTGATTGCCCTGTTGCCTGGAGAATGGATTTGTCAATAGATTGGGCATGGGAGGACAAGAATTTGCCTCTAACAAGAAAGAGGTGGCTGGAATAAAAGAACAGGATTGATGGATTCATGGAAGGAAAACCGTGTCAGCAAGTCAAAGAGGTTTTGTGTTAACCTTGCTTGTTAATGAAGATAATTCATGTGAACAGGATATTTGAAGGAGATTACTCACAGCAAGATTAGCCATAGGAGATACATCAAGGGCCTGGAGGAACTTCTGAAACCAATTATGTGGCTGACAGCCTCCTACAGCTGGGAGAATTGAACCTCCAAGGGAAAAACACAAACTCTTGAAACATTCAAGATGTAGTCTTACTAAAAACAAATACTCTCTTTTCTAAGCCCTTCCAAAATCTCACAAGTGGAGAAAATTGGAATCATTGTCCTATTCATGTAGAGAGTAGGACACTCCCTAAACACTTCCTTTATTCCAAGTGACCTCATGGCTGTGTTGTGGTATCTGTTCACAAGTGCTGGAGATGCATCAGTGACTCAATAAGCCAGTTCTCTTTCTTTTCTTTAATAAAAGGAGAAGACACAAATGCTTAGATCAAGAAAATTGTCATACTGAAAGAGGAACTCCCAGTTTATCATCGTGAACAGCGGCTTGGGTTGAAATTGTTTTAGTTTGTTTTGTGCAAATATTTGCAAATAACAATATTTTGCTGTATTTTGAAACTTGCTGTGACTGTTAGTAATGTTTGAATCTGTTCTGTGTCAATCCCAGTCCAGTGGCTGTAGTGTGGATAGTGCTTTTCCTCCCTCAGCTCCCCAGGTCTAAACCCAGGTGTGCCAGTCCACTGCTGTCATACAGTAAACTTAATATCTGACAAACTGGCAGTTGCCCATAAGGTTCTGAATTGTGATTTACAGTCACAGAATAAGAAATTTAAAAATTGCAGAGGTCTCAGGATGATATTCTCTGTTTGCTTCACACTGGAAAGCTCTTCTCAGCTAACTGTTGTGGATTATTTTTCTGCTCTCATGAAGGCAGCTTGAGGCTTCCATCCCTGTGCTTATCAAGACTGATAGATTTTATATTCAGCAAAGGATCAAAGCAGTGGTTATTCAGTGCATTTGTGGCTCTGGATGAGGTGATGTTTTCCCTGGGTGTTTCTGTTAAGTGGTGGCTGTGACTTGTAGCGTTGCCTCACAGCCAGTAAGTGAACCAACAACTTGGGAATGCTACCAATAAATGTATTTGTAAAACTAATTAATTCAGGGGGAGTTGTTAGTATTGAAATTCTTCTGGCAGTGCTAGTGCTGGGATGAAAATTCTCTGAGGGAGAAGGGAATGTGGCTGAGAAGAGGCAGGGCACTGGTGAGAGGCTGAGTGTCCTGGTCTCCAAAGTTCAGCTCCTTGTGCTGGAGGTGCTGACCTGGAGTAAGGGCTGGGAAGGTGTAGCAAACTAGGAGTGCATCTTTCTTGACATGGAACAGTCTTCTAAGAAAACCAAAAGAGTGAAGAAAGACTGTGTTCAGACTTGGCACAACGACATGACCAAATAATCTTGTCTGTTATTTCCAACCCGACCAGTAACTTCCTTTTGCTCTGTTCATAGTTCCTTACAAAAGCTGCCCTTTAGGGGTTTTATGGACTGCAGGGGATGCTGATTGTGCCACAGAAAATTTTTTACTGGCTAAACTAAAAAAAAGTCCAAGAGAAATGAAGTTGGAAGCAAAGGGTCGTGTATGATTTGTTTATAACTAAAATACAGTTTTACTAAGGCTGTCTAATCCCATGGCCTGGAATAGCTGGAAAGCTTCAGAGAAAGTGGTAGGTGAGCCACTGGCTTCCTCAAAGTGTCACTGTGTGCAGAGTATAAAGTAATTAGTACAGAGATCTTGAGCTTGGAGCCTGCAAATTGAGTAGTATGTTACACAACCTCCAAAATAATTTCCAATTAAAACTTCAGCCGGCTTGAGAGATAAACCTGCTAGATGTTGTTATTAAGAGCTAATGCAGAAATGGGTTTTGATGACTGAGCATTAATTGAAAAGGGTATTTTGCATTCAGCCATGTATCTTGTGGTGTCAGGTTTCCTTTAAACCATTTTCTGATGGAGTTAAGTGTTATAATATTTTTTCTAATGAAGTTACTTTGAAAAGCTCAGGACTTCCAGAGCACATAATGAAAACCCTGCCTCCCATTCCTTATGCAACTCGTCTCTTCCAGGCCCAGGTTTTGCACTTGCCTGGAAAATGTTCTTGCATTGAAGAAATCCATCCAGATTACTGGATGAGCAAGGTCATGGGGTTTGCTTTGCAGTGGCAAAAAGTACAATTTGTCTTCATCTTTCTGTTTCTAAAAGCAGCCTGACAGGCAGTTTTCAGAGACCTGTGTATTCATAAGAACAAAACATCTGCAACCCCTTTGCTTATTCTGTTGATAAACTGGTATTTCAGGATCCTGGCCCAGTGCTGGGTGTTCCTGCAGGTAAAGCTCCTGCAGGTAATCACAGATAACTCTTTTATTGACACCAACTTACACAGCCAGGATAATGTTATGATTTTGTAGTTCCTGGAAAGTACAGAACAGAATGTAAAATACCTGACATCCTGCCACTGAAGGCTTTGACGCCCAAAATATCTGAAAATATTGTTTCAGGATGTAGCAGAATATTGTAAATTTGAAGATGCCTGCTAATTAGTGTTGAGGCAAGTAATAAGACATTCAGTCTCAGTCTCCATCTGTTTGTAGGCTGAAAGCTCTTCAGGACAGGCTGTGTTTTTACCTTTAATGTATGTACTGTATTCTGAGTAATGCAGAATGAGAAACTATCAGTATTGGATAACTTGAGCATATTGATATCAAGAAATGTTCAAGTAAAATGTGACAACTATTGCTTAAATTTGTCAGTCTTGAAATTCCAGGTGTATTTCAGCACCAGATACTCAGGTTGTCCAACAGCTGGATATGAAGAATTTTTAAACATTTGTGTTCAGAAAGCTTGTAAGTGCTTGTGCACATCCTGTTTAAAGAGCTGCTTTATTATGTTTAAAATAATGTTACATTGGAGGCTTCTCTAAATAGTTTGCTCAGTAAAAGTAAGGGTTGTTATAACAGCTCCAGTCTGATCCCATGGCATGGACACCCATTAGTGGTTGCTATAGGATATCATGCCAGTTTAACTTACATTCCTTTCTCACATGATGCAACTGCTTAAGCATTTTTAATTATGAGTGGTGGTGAATCAGGAGGAAAACAAGGTTTCTTGCAAATGAGGCATCCATAAATCAAGGATAAACAAAGCTGCCTTTGGTATGTAGAAGACATTTTTTCCCCATGACAGTGTTGCAGGGCAGTGAGCGAATGGCTGAAAATTAATGATGCAGATGTAATAGATGAATATTAAGTTGCAGGAGTGTATAATAAAATTATAAATAAAAAAAAATTGTGATGTAGTTTTATAGTACTGACTTTTTCTGGGCTTGCAGCAGTGGGAGGCTATAGAATAATGATGTTAAATTTAAGACTTATTTAAATCACACATATTTTAACAATACCGATTAAATTAATTGGATCATTTAAAATTTTAACAGTTATACCAGTGGTAGTATGCCCTTTGACATAGTTTTTATTGTAAGTAGAGCTTAATTTACATTAGTTTCATGTTTTCTCACACTTTCAGTATTAATTTAAATTTTTAATTGGATTATTTTTCCTGCTCTCTGCTTGAAAGCACTGAAGTGAGTGTAACATGCTGTACCTTAATGAGGCTTTCCTCATTTTTTTTTTTTGTTTGTCTTGCCATGTGACATCAAGAGGACTTGGTGTTTAGGGATGTGGTTGGGAAGGGTGCTGTGATGGTTTGTAAGCAGAGGTGCAGAAGCCCAGCTGGAATGGGCTGCTCAGATCCAACCTGCCCAGGGTGCAAAGCTGGCCCTGGGAAGTGGTCTTTTAGTACTAAAAAATAAGATTGCCCCACCTCTTCCAGAATTAGATGTACTTTCCAGAGCCCTCACCTTTGAAAACCAGCATATTTTAGGTTTGGGTGGGTCTTCAGTGGCTGACTGAAAACCTCCAAGTAATTTGTTGTCACAGAAAGTCCATGTTTACTCTTGTTTCCCAAATGGGTTTTATCTCCTCCCCTTGCAAAGCTTTGTTCAACTGAATCCTTTCCATTTCCAATTAATTGGGAATGAACATTTTTCTGAGGCCTGGATTATAACTGGCAGATTAGTGAAGTCTATTGATGTCAGCAAACCTCTTAACTAATAGAGAAGCTAAACATTTGTATTCCAGAGAAAAATATGGAATAAGTCATTAAGAATGTTAAAATCTATGTTTCTAAAACACGTTGCATATGTTAATTAAGAATGTTAAAAATGGGTATTTTTAAGACATAGTGGTGGTTATAGCTGGGGAGAAACCATATGCTACCTCCTCCTTTGGAAGGAGCTCTGCTGAGGAATAATCGATAAACCATCCATGATGTGCTCCAGGAAATAATTAAACTTGACCTATTGACTTGTTAATGTGAGTAGTTTAGGATTAGCAGGGTGGGTTTTGTCTTTGGAACTTAATCCTTTTCCGAGTGTTTGGTTGTTGTAAAGTGCCTGATGGAGCAGAAATGATGGTGCCAAGAGTGTGACCTTTGTTCCAAGCACTCTTCTCTTCCTCCTTAGTGTTTACTGCCATTACTTAATTAGCAAATGCTGCAAGGAGAGCAGAGGGGAGCTGGACAGTTGCTGAATTTCAGGAATGTGTTTATGTAAAGCAAAACAAAAAGGAAAACAACCCTTCCTCAACCTCGAGGAGTTTGATAAACTGTTGTTACA